GTCACAAATTGTGTTATGGCTTCTCAAAAAGGTATTTCATTTTAAAAGATGTATTACTTTTACCATCTTCCACAATGAACCCGTCATTTCGAAAAGGGCACAAGTCCATTTATTCAAACTTTTCAGGATCAACAAAAATAACTTTATTAGAAAAAAAGTCTATGGTGCTAAAGAAACTAAAGATAACAGTAGATATATAAAAGTTATACATAAGTTTTTAGAGTTTTATTTGTTATAAAAAAATAATATATAACATATATATTTCTAATTTAAATTTATGGACTTATGTCTTTTTCGGAATGAACGCTTTTTTGTATATAAAAAACCAAAGATTATCAGAATAATAATGATTTATTATTATACAAAAACATTTATTGTTAGGTAATCATCAATTATTTCTCGGAATTCATTGTTTGCCGAAGTTGTTGGCGAAGCAAAAACCTTTGTATAGAAGTTTTGGTACTCTTCTATTGAATATGGAATATATTTTTTCATATTTTTTTCAAATCTGATATATTTTTTTCATTGATAGGAAATTTTCCAACATATGCAGGAGTACTACTTAATGGTAAGGTTGACCGGGTACCCATCCTTTGTAATAGCTGGAAATTATAACTGATTAAGCAATCTATGGATTCACATGTTTTCACTAAACCTGCTGTGGTATTAGAGAATGTGAAATGTGAAATTTTAGAAATACCAAAAGTAAGTTTTTTGTCCTTGGGTACTCCTTTTTTATAGGAATCCACAGATAGCATAAGTTTCTTATAATGGTTTAGCCACCATTTTTTTACATCGTTGGTGTGTAAGTCCGATCATTTTTTTGAATGTCGTTTTGCTGTTCCAAACATTCTATCGTTTGGCAAGAATGAGTGACCTCTTTTTGTTATGTAATATTGTATCTCATTTATATTGCTATCTAGTTCAGCTACCAGTTATGAAAGTATTCAGACCGTAGCATGATTTCTGTTTTGGCCTGCACAACCATCAGAAAATAGGTGCAGTTCTTTGGCTTTGTTGCCAATTTTTTTAAAAATATAATTCAGCTTAAAGGTACATACTTTGCTCACGTACTTTTGTTAATGTATCTCCAGGTAATGCGTTGCATCGTGATCACAGAGATTTACCTCTGTAATCTATAGGCTGCTCTTTTTTTTTTAATAAAATGCATAAATGTCTAACTTGTTTCATAGAAATTCCATGCATACAGCAAAAAGATTTCTTGCGTACTTTTCTTATCACACCTTCAATCTAAATGTGTTACATAAAAGAAAATTCTTTTTTCTTAGGTTCTTTAGATCTAAACTATCTTCCATCTTTTCAATCAATGACTGCAAGTATGTGTCTTGAGCATTTTTACAAACAAATTTGTTAACAAAGTGAATTGTACTTTCTATAAAATCTTCAGATACAAGCTCCATACAATTTGAATTACATCTGTAAATAAATAAAATCATTGAGGTAATATTGTAATAATTATATATCAAGATGTTTTACCTCCAATTATTGGTGGTAAAACATGAGTAAATAAGCATAAATTTGAGAACGAATATAGTCATACTCTAAAGAACAAAAAACTAACCTACAAGAAGCACCCGTTTGACTTGGTGCCACATCATTTCCTTTGTGGTTTTTTTAAGTTTCTCGAGCAATTTTAGCTTTTTTTATTTTTTTGTGTTTATAATTTCCACTGTTTCTTATACCAGACACTCTTTTTCTAGATCTATATGCATTTTCAGGAAGTTCGCGATTTTCCATTTTTGTTACAAAAAAAGTAAAATTACGTCACTACAGTTGCGCTTTGTTTCACTTGAAAAAGGCATAAGTCTGGGAGTTGTGCCATTTTTAAACAGACTTTAATTTTCATTTGCATTTAACGTTGACTTGTGGCATATGAAAATGTTTCTCCTTCAAAGGGAATATGTAAAACACTTGAATAAATAAAATTGCATTAAAAAGTGAAATTTGAAAAAAGTGTGACTTGTGCCCTTTTCGAAATGACGGGTTCAATTTATTTAAAACACAAATGTGATTTTTTTAAATCAAACAAAATAAAAATTACCTGTTGTTTTATTAACCTAAAAAAAAGGTTTTTAAAAAAATAGTTTAAATTTTTTAAAAACATTTTAACTATTTTTTTATAATTTATATGTTGCCTAATTTTATTCACCCTCTTTAGCTAAATATTTTTATTTAGAATCTGCATTACCAAAATCATCATTTGCACTTCAAAAGTCATTAGAACTAGCCACCTCTGATGAAACCTCACAACTTCATGGTGTTACATTTGGATCACTAGCTGGACTTGACATTAAAATTACAAAACGAACAGGTATAAAAAAGAGGATAAATCATGCTGAAACATAGATTTTTATAGATTACATGCTGAAACACTAGATTACTATAGATTACATGCTGAAACTCTAGATTACTATTTAAATCTCATCTAGAGAAATCTTTAACTTAAGCTGAGGAATCTTTAAATATAAGGACAGGCGATAAACTGTGCATTAAAAAAATATACCTACACATCAAAAGTGTTTGATGTGTAGGTATATTTTTTTAATTAATAAACAACTTTGTGCAATGTGTCAATACAGTTATGGTGATCCTGTCAATCCGTATTTAAAGAATAATTGGGATAAACACCATAAATGCTGTAGATGGTGGCATGAAACATCAGGGGCGGATTAAGACTTCTTGAAGCCCGGGGCTTTTTTTGTTTTTGGAGGCCTTTTTATGGACCAGAGCCTAAAAATGACTTCAAAAAAAAAAGAAGAAGAAAAAAAAAGATCATCTACAATTTTTAGGGGCCCCGGGGCTATAGTCCCCCCTAGCCTCTTGATCCGGCACTGTGAAACATGTGCTGTCATATGTGGTGTTTATGCTAAAAAAGCATTTACTTGTGATGACTGCATGAAACGCTTTGTATTTACTTGTGATGAATGCATAAAATTCTTTAAAAAAAGTTATATGTTATATATTGATAAACTGTTTTTAACTTTCTTAAATAAATCTCTTGTCGTAACGTTTTCTTTAAATTGTGTATTTTACTTTTTTATGTTTAATTATTGAAGTTATGTAAAATATTATTTTATGAACTACTTATGAGCTTATAAACATTTTTTATTTAAAGAGAATTTATAAATAATCATCGAAATCATAGAAATAATCATTTCATTTACAATTTTACTTTAGATATTTTTCTAAAAAGGTTTCTGTTTTGGGTGATATATTCATACTTTACTAAAATAGGTGGTTCAAAAATTATTAATCTTTGCAATTGCAATGCCCTTAATTGTATGCCAATCAGGTGTAACAAATTCCATTTAAGAGACAATTACTTTATACGATGCTGATTTATAATATTTTAATTGTATTAATGCGTTTTCAACGAACTTCACAATTTTCTTAAGTATGCCGAATTTACCGAATTTACCGTACCGTGCCGAAAATACTATACTATTTTGGAGTATTTTGTAAACAAATTTTACATAAAACTTTGTAGATTTGAAATAATTATTTAACTATTATTTAATAGATATAACTGCAGAACATCGATTCGATTCATCGATGTGCATGATTTTTTAACGGTATTAAAGCAACCATTGTCTACAAACAACAAAATAGTTTAGTACGTCGAAATTACCCTACTTTACCCTATATATTGTAACGGATCATTTTATACATCATAAGAACAAATGAAGTCAGGAAGACACAATATTAGCTCTTTAAAATTAGTAAAAGGTAACGTGAGACAACGTTTTATAATGAAGATTCAAAGTCAAATTTAAATAAAATCCTTGAAAGTATATTTCTGTGCCAAGTTCCAGAATGGTCTAATTTTTTATAAACTCTCTATAATCTATATTTTACAATTATTTTGAGCACTCCTCGCAAAAATGGTCACACTAGAACTGATTTGATTATAACTATTGCTTTGCTTCTTAGATATGAAGAATCGATTTAATGTTGTTTTACTTTTGTAATAAACCTGTGAAAAATTTTAGACGTAGGTTTATATATTTTTTTAAAATTTGTATCTTTTGGTTCAAGAAGATGAAGCAAATAAAGAGTTTGAAGACTATCTTTTAATTATTGTCCACTGTGCAATTATTGCATCGACGGCAACTTAAACGATGATGCATTAAGATAAAGGTATAAGATAACGTAAAGAGTATTTTCGCAGCGACATTCGGTTATTTAAATTTTTTTAAATCTAAGAAAAAAATTTTTTGTAACATTTTAAGTTATACATAAATTGCCCATCGTGATTTTATGTGTAAGCCTTCTTGGTAAATTTTGATAAATTTTTTTTTTTTTCCCAACAAGGTTGCACGCAACCATTAATTGGAGTTGGAAATTACTGGAAGAGAAAAGTTGAAGATTGTAGAGATAACGATTAACAGACGACTTAAAAGATTGCAAATTATGCGAATTCCAAAGAACTGATGATCGAGGAAAAAAACTAGAGGAATAAGAGTTTTTGGAGCACTTAGGAACAGTCACAAAAAAAAGAATGAGACTTAATTGAATGACGAGTAGCACAAGAATGAATTTTAGTAAATGGCAGAAGAGATGCTAGCTCTTTAGAGCAGTGTCCATTATAGTATTTGTAGAAAAGAGAAAGAAAAGCAACATTACGACGTGATAATGGTTGGAGATTGGCTGTAAAAGCAGGTCTAACTATGTTTACAATGCGTATTCAAATATACATTAAACAATTAAAACAAATCATGGAAATTTATTATTCAGTTTTGATAATTTTAGAAAAATTATAATTATGCAATGATTAGTTTTTTACATTTTTATTCAGGCTATGTTTCGATTTTAAATTTAATAAAACTTATGAAATGGATTATTTTTTTTACTAGTAAGCCATCTTAAATTATATGTAAGTACGCCATACGCCATCTTGAGTAAGTACGCCAAAAAAAAGTAAACTAATTACACTCGAAAATTCTTTAAAAAATGATATATGTACAATGATTTCAAATTAATAAACATGAATAAAATCTTTGGTTCAAAAATAATAATAGTTTGATAGTTTTTCAATAAAAGTATTGTCTAATTTACAATAAGAATTTCTGTATAAATAGTTGATTAAAATTACTCTAGTAAGTGCGGTTAAGTAAACAATATATTTTATGTATGATAAAATATTTAACCTATCGATTTACTGCGCAATGGTCATTTCCACGTTACGACGCATAATTCAAACTTATCTCATTCTAAAGAAAATAAAAAAAAAACTACGATTGGTCTCCACCTTCTAACTTACTCTCTGGTTTATAACAAGATTCTCTTGGAATAAAGTCAAATAGCTGTTCAGTTTTCTGTGAAGCTTTTCGCAAAGGCTCCAGATCAAGATTGTATTGAGTGATGAGAGATTCTTGCTCTTTTAACTTAATCTCTAAATAATTTATATCCGAAGCGATTTGCCCTTTTATTATCGCAGAAGCATTAGCAAGACGACTTTCAGCAGCTAACAATGTTGGCATATCGATGAAGTTTAGATTCTCTATGGTTGCCACTAGCTCTTCAACATCATCTAATGAATTGGACAGATCACTTTGTGCCTTTGATGCATTAAGTTTTGCAAAAAGTATTTTAGAAGATGCATCTTCTATAGCAGCTGCTTCACTTTGGGCTTGTTTTCTATAAACATCAAGCGATTTGTCAACTGAGTGTATATTTTTGTTTGTTGTGTTTAACTCATTTGAAACAAATGACGTTATCTCATTTAATAAGGCTCGCAATTGAGAGATTATATCATCAAGATCCTAGTAAGAAATATTTAATAAAATAATTAATTAAATCATTATTTTATACTTTTATCTCCTCCAAGGTATGGAGTGATGAGAAAATTTGTTTCATAAAAAGCTTTTCAAAGCTTTATATTAAATGTTATTTGTAAACAGAATTTTAGAAACAGAAATTAAAAAAAAAAGTGACTGTAAATACAGTAAAATATCATAATTAATATAAACTAGAATTAATTAACATAATTATTGAATAAAGAATGTTATTTGTAAACAGAATTTTAGAAAAATACGGTAAAAAAAGTGTAAATATCATAACTACTTAACTAAAAGAAACTTTATAAAATGATTAGCTAAAACTAGCTTGCTGAAAATTTTTTTTAAATTTATCTATATTTAAATAATTTTGTGCAAACCAAGATGTATAAAGCATATGATATTTTCATGTAAAACAAAAATCATACTATATTTGCTTGTGATACTGACTTGACTGCATCTCTTGACAAACTCAAAGAAGCTGTTGTGTCTACTATAGACATATCAGCATTTTCAGATGCAATTTTTCCGGTGATATTAGCATCAGCTATAAGTTTTTCTATTAATGGTATTAGTTTTAATGCTTCAGACGCATTCGCTTTTGATCGTTTGATATTTTCATTAAAACCCTAAAAAATAATACTAAAATATATTATATCACACTAAACATAAACCAAAAGAGGTATTATACCACACTAAACATTACCAAAAGAGGTATCACACTGAACATTAACCAAAAGAGATATTATATACTAAACATTAACCAAAAGGAGTAAAAAAAAAGAAACATAAAAATTAACTTAAAAAAAGTTATAAAAATCTAATTTTAAAATGCACATATTTGATTTAAAACATTTAAAACAAAAGTACATCTTTTTATTATTTATACTAAAGTCATTCAAAGTAGTACATTGCCGCAAATCTGAAAAGATGCAAATGTTATAACGATTTTCAAAAAAGCAGACAGAAAACTAGTTGCAAACTATAGAACCATTAGTTTACTAAAAGGACAAAAAGGTCAAAATATTTGAAAAAATAATACAAAAAAATATTTTTAACCATCTGTTAAAAAAATAAAATAGAACTAATTAAAAAAAATTTATTTATCTAACTTCTACTCAAGACAAATTTTATTCTAGGGCGCTCTTGTAAAACACATTTTCTTACTATAATCAATGCATGGACAACTTAATTAAAGGTTGATAATATTTAGCTTGAATTGGAAAAAGCATTTGACAAAGTCCCACATAAACATCTTCTTGTGAAACTAAAAGTCTATGGAATTAAAAGTCTGATTCTTTATTGGATAAAAATATTCTTACAAAACAAAGACAAAGAATAATGATAAATGGTAATTATTCTGATAGGGTACCGGTAAAAAGTGAGATCTGAAAAAAACTGAAAACTGTTCCATCAGCTCATTTTTTGCTCATAATAAACGTTAATGATATTCTTATTAATATAATTACAAATGCAGCACTTTTTGTCTACCATACAAAAATATTTTACCCTCTTACTAAAATGCATTCACACACTCTACTTTAAAATGATATTGATATCTTGGTGGACTGGCTGGGATGAAATTTAATATAGAAAAATAATCAGTTTGAGACTTCAACTGCAAACACAAGAAAAGCTAAGTCTTATAAAAAGATCTTTTGCTTCTCTAAATTTTTTTGTTCTAAAAGATAATTCTCGACACTAGTTCAAGCATATTTAGAGTCTAAAGTCTGTATAAAACCCTCTCTTTTGTTATTATTATTTTTTAACTATTCACCTCCCCAAGACCTCCCCAATAATATATATGTATGACAGGTTGACAAGCATTCATGCCATTTACATTTCTTTAATGTAAACCATATAATAATAATACTCTTGCGTCCTGTATACCTTTCAATTTATAAATCCATACTAATATTTTTAACATAACACAAATAAAACTATTTATTCTAGCGTGGCTTGCAGTCAAATGCGCATTTTCTAACAGCTGTTTTATTATAATTTCAATAGGACTTAAGTTTTATACTTTGGTGAAAAATAAACCGAGATTTACTAAGTTGACAATGTTTACAATGAAAGTTTTTTTTTTTATTGATATCTGAAATAATTTTTTAATTTTTATGACCAATGAATTTTTTTTTTAATAATAATATTAATACCTTTAAAGTTTCTAACATATCTTGCGCTTCTTTGGCTACTTTGGCTCCAATAGCTTGTGCATTAGCTGCTTCTTGGCTAGCATTTATAGCAAGAAGATGCAGTTCATCAGACTGATTTCGTAAAGAAACTCCTTTCTCCATTAAATCACGAGCCTCTTTTTCACTTATTTGAAGATTTGAAACAATAACAGCATTCTCATTGGTGAGAGACAATGAATTTTCATTTAGTTCATTTGAGCTGTTCTTAATTACAGAGGTTTTATCTGAAAAGAATTTTTTTTTTTGCAATAAACAAATTATTTTATTTTAGTTTTTTGTTTTATTTTGAAATTTTTAAAACTGTTATTTAATTATTTTAAATTTTATGAACAATAATATTTGAAAGAATGCCAAAGGAAAAAAAAAATTATTATACAGTTTTTTAAAGCATTTTGTCACTCTTACACACTTTTTGATTGCTTTCTTCTTAATAATAATTTATATTTTAAATATGGTTAATATTATCTCTATATACAAAACTTAAGTAACAAATAAAAAAATTAAAAAACAGGTAACAAACCTCACTCTTGAACTACTGGTATTACGAAAGGTTTAAATTTTCAACAACACAGGAGAGAATATTATTAGATTTTGCATAATAAAAAATGGCATTAATAAAATACTGTCAAGAAGCATGATAAAATATGTATCAGTCGATTTACCCCAAAAAATACACTAGGCACCGAGTGTACAGTCTTCTCTGTTTGAAATTTGCTTCCAACGCACAAGAAAGCGCTGTCAGTATGGTCATTTTTAAGTTAGCCTGCGCTATTTAAAAAAAAAAAAAATTCCTTCTATTTAAATAAGAATAAAAACTGGCAAAAAAGCCTTGTCAAAAAATTTTTGACAAAATCTTAATTTCTAGCGACCTTTTTTAAAATTTTGAATAAACTTTTGTGCAACCAATGAGATAATATTTTTTCATAGAGGGGTTTAAAAAAAAAAAAAAAAAGATTTCAAAAAATAACAACAAACCTAATTATCTAATTGATTTTACTCTTAATACCATAATTTCTTTATAAAAGTTGTACAAATGAACAAAATTGTTTTGTTGCAATTTAAAACAAACTCTTTTAGTTTTTTGGCAAGCGTATTTTTATGTGCTAACAAAAGTTTTTGTGGGCGAGTGCGAAAATACCTGAGCACCAAAGCGCTGCCTAAACAGAGAAGACTGAGTGTATTGTTGCGGAACTAGTATAGCTTACCTAATGTCTTGTTGATCATAAAGTCAGGCAGGTCTTTCTTTGCTTCTAGAATTAAATCTTTTGCATCCTCTAAAACGGTTAATGAATTATTTTTTGTTTTATATATCAGTGAAAGAGCTTCATTTGCTATAGTCATAGATTCTTCAAAATTTTTGTCCATGTTAACTAGCTTGTTATATAATTTTTCTTCTACTGTTTTTGCATTTTGTGCTTGTTCAAGTGCATCAACTGATATATTATATGCTGTAATTGCAATTTGGTTAACTTCATTGGACTCCTTTTCTTGTCTATTAGCAAGTTTACGTGCCTGAAAAAATATAAACTCTAAGAAACAATGTTATCAAAAAAAACAAAAAAACCTATCAAAATTTATTATAATAAGTTAATTATAAAATACCTATATATAAATCACATATCTATGAGTATGGATATACATATATAAAACATTTTTTATATATTCATTCATATGTTATCCTAGTTACAATGATTTATACTATCCCTTATATATCCTTATATATCCTTATATATCCTTATATATCCTTATATATCCTTATATATCCTTATATATCCTTATATATCCTTATATATCCTTATATATCTTTATATATCCTTATATATCCTTATATATCCTTATATATCCTTATATATCCTTATATATCCTTATATATCCTTATATATCCTTATATATCTTTATATATCTTTATATATCCTTATATATCCTTATATATCCTTATATATCCTTATATATCCTTATATATCCTTATATATCCTTATATATACTTATATATACTTATATATCCATACATTTAGATGATATGTATATCCATACATTTAGATGATATGTATATCCATACATACAGATGATATGTAGACTACCATTCATAATTATTCGAATGACATAAACTTTTTTTAAAAACAAAATTTTTTATTTGACTATTTTTTATTTTTATTTTTGCACTATTAGATAATTTAAAAGTATTTTTGTTAAAATGCTTTGATAAAAATCTTAAGAAGAATAAAAATGCCAAAGTGGGCATCATCAAAAATGGACCATTCATTTTTTCAAAAGAAAATGACTTGAAGCTTAAATCTAAAACATATTTTTCAAAAACTTGTTATTTGACTGAGTTCGAGTTATTTGACTGAGTTTGAGAGTTATTTGACTGAGTTCGAGAACAATCAAATATTTAAAAACATGATTTAGCCTCCCCAATCACAAGATCTCTCTCCTATTGGATTTTTATGGGTGGAATTAAAAGTAATGTCAAAAACTAATGCTAAATGTTGTATAAGATGTGGACAAAACAAATTAGTTAGTTACATAAAATTAATTTTGACATTAGATAAATTTGATAAGTTGTTAAGGAGAATGCCAGGAATGTGTATGGTGGTTATTGTCGCTAAGAGTGATTAAGAGGCAAGTAAATTATAAATTAATCTTATCGGACTTTAATTAATTTTTTTATAAACCTAATAAAAAGGAAGATAGCATATAATTGAGGTAGACTTTGCTTACAGTTTCTCTCCCAATGTAAGTAAAATTAAATCTTATTTCGAAAAGTACGACCATTCAAATAATTATGGATGTTACTGTATATCCATACATATAGATGATATTTATATCTGTACTTATATCCATATTTAGAGATGATATGTATATCCATACATATAGATGATATTTATATCTGTACTTATATCCATACTTAGAGATGATATGTATATCCATACATATAGATGATATTTATATCTGTACTTATATCCATACTTAGAGATGATATGTATATCCATACATATAGATGATATTTATATCTGTACTTATATCCATACTTAGAGATATGTATTGGTATTTTAAGTTTTGTGTTTTGGAAATAAATTTTTGCACTCAAATAAAATTTAAATTTAGATTAATGCAATTCTTGTTATAACAATCTTATATACAATGCAGGTGAATGAAATAATAACTTTTTGTTAGTAATTTTAATTGAATCATTAAGTTTAGTGGTTGATTGTAAGCAAATCTTTTTGAAGTTATTTGTTAAAATCAGTGAGGTATGATCTACATAATTATAGTTATTTTTTTTCCTCGGCTTGTAACTTTTATGTCTTAAGTTTATAAAATTCCTTTTCAATTTTTTGACGATTTTTTATTATATTTGCTTAATAAAATGTCCAAGCATAATTTAAGATATCTTTTTTCATTAAAAAAAAAATTATTTATTCAAAACTATACATGTTTCCTATACAAGGAAAGGTGTGTGGTCACACAGATTACATGACCATGCATATAATATCTTGTTTTAATAACTTGACCATGGCTCTTTGCAAGTTGGAAAAATTAGCACGTTAAAAAATGTGCTGAATAAACTTATATCAAAATTAAAAATAAACAAAAACATTAACTAAATTAAAAAAAAAAACTAAAAAAAGAGAAATAAAAACTAAAAAAAAATACAAAAATAAACCTAAAATCTTAATCATCCTAAATGCTACACTAACGTAGAAATATTATTAATTTTGAAAAAATCTATTAATTAAGCTTCTAAATTAAATTAAAGTATATTAATTTTATACTTTTATTTTTACTAGTTTATCTTTTGATTGATTTATTAATCATTAATTCAGTATATGGTTTGTTTATTTCTAATTTCCTTTTTAGTTTAGTTTTTTCAGTGCATTTTTAAAACATGCAAATTATCAAAACATACAATGTGCTGTTATCAAGTTGTCAAAACAAAATACTGTGTGTATGGTCATATAAGGCAAGTGACTGCACCCCTTTCCAGAGAAGGTTTGCTATAAGAAAGTCAGAAATAGCTTAAAATAGGTTTATACACCATCTCAGTCTAAACAATTTCTCTAAAAATTATATAATTCTAAAAGTTATTATTTCAAAAGTTTTTATGAGAAAATATTTGTTATGATCATTCATAAATAGGAGAAAAAAAAAAAAGAAAAAAAAAACAACAACAGAAATATGAATATAATTAGAAATAAATCTTCATTAAACAATGCAATTGAATGGTCACAAACAGCTTATGTTTTTAAATATTTAAAAAAGTTTTATAATAATTGAGAAGTGAAAATTACATCATGTTGAACTTGCAAACAATTCTGTGCATTTAAACATCATTTACTGTAAACCACCTGCTGCACCAATAAAGCGGATATCATCAGAACAAAAGACCATTAACCCTCTTTATTTTTTTATTATCTCATTTTATTTATTAAAATAACAAACAAACACAACTCAATAACTTTTATTTACTTTAACAACTTGTACTTAATATTCAATTCAATACTCATAAATATTTTAGTAATTATTGAAATGTTGAAATAAAATATTTTCTTTTTTTTTTTTGTTTAACACAATACTTTTATTTTATTTTAATCAATAAATTTTTGAAAACTTGAAACTTGCTACTTTTTTCCTCGGTTATCTTATAAAAACCAAGACTATATTATATATGAGTATATAATAAATAAGTATTATATATAATATATACAATATGAAAGTATATGATAAGGGGTTGTCCATAAACTACGTCACCCAATTTTTGACCATTTTTGAACCCCCCTCCCTCGTTACAAAATTGTAACACTTAAGAAGCGAGTTTTGAATGAGTCGTCACAAAACCACAACCCCCACCCCCACCCCACCCTCACCCCCGTTATAGCGTGACGTAATTTATGGACGACCCCTAACTATATTACCTCCTCAGCAATTTCTTTTAAAATTTTTGCTGTGTCATTTTGCATATTAGTATTTACACTGTGGGAGTTGACATGATCTTTGTTATTTTTTATTTTATCTTCAATTTCTTTGAGTAGCTTTTTAATTAGTTCAATTATATCTTCAGCTTCTTTAGTTTTTGTCATACTAGTTGTGGCAGCACCCTCAGATTTTGATACCATTGCTTCCAAACCAACAATAATATCATTTAAATGCATAAACTTTTCAGACAATGACTTAAAAAATTCAAACAATGCTTTGTCATCTTTTGATAATTGCAAAACTTTTGTATACAGTGAATCAACTTCTTTTCGTAAAGCATTCAAAGCTGATTCAAAATCAGCATCTCTAATGTTCAATTCTGAGACAGCAGAAATATTATTTTTTACACCTTCAAAATTAAAAAGCTTTTCTCGAATTTGATTGACAACTACCTGAATCAGTTTAAAACATGGTGGACAATCTGGAAATAAAAAAAAAAAATTAAAAAAAGAAAGTATACAATGATTGCAAATTTAAAAACATCGTTTATTTAAATTGGTTAACCTTATTCTTTGACTTGGGGTGATTGCCCAACTGCAAGTTTGCCTAAATGCGAACTGGCTCAAGTGCAAAATACAAGAAAAAGATTATATGAACAGAAGATTAAAATTACAAGAAAAAATTATATGAACAGAAGAGTAGGGCATGTTGCACATGTTTGAATTTACATTTTCTTTACATTTACAAACCTTTACATTTTCTAACTCTTTAGGTATCAGTTTGCAATTTGCAAAATTTTTTTTTAAATTAAAACCTTAAAATTAAAAACTTGCAAGCATTTGCGTAAAATACATTTAAAATTTATTTTATTCTTTTAAAAAAGGTATACATTTGTGTAAGGGGTAGTAAGATCCAAAAATTATGTCACATAACTTTCAAACATTTTTATCTAAAAAAAAATAATTAAGTTTTCAATCTCTGATTCCAAAAGCAAGATTTAAAATTCCAATCTTTTAAATCTTTCTGATTGAATTCAAATCTTTCAAATCAATCTGAATCAAGATTTAAAATTCAAACCTCCAAAATCAACCTGCCCTAATGTAAATGATTTTCTATTAATTATTAATATGGCAAAAAAATAGATAATTTTTTTTTAATCTACAGTCTCTTAAAAAATTGAGAAAAAGTTTGTTTGTTAGTGCTGTTTCCTTTTAAATAGTGAGATAAATGCTGACCACAGTTTACCACTACACTTACCTTGTGATGTGACTATTATGTTGTATCTTGTTTCTTAACGCCTATGTTTTTTACTTCACAATTAGTGCATATGAAAACACTAGACACACAATGGTGCTCTATTTTAAAGCAACTGTTACTTAAAAACTCAATCAGTTTACCATGGTAACAATAAGAACTGTTTGTCTATGATATCATTGTATAAGAAAACGATTTCATTTATTAGATGCTCACTGTGTATTTTACTCATTAATTTCCTATTATAATTAAATATAATGAATTTAACAATGTTTAATGACACCATGAAAAAATCTATTGCTGGTAAAACATTTGTTTAAATCATGGTGCAACTTAAATGCAACAATAACTTTGTATAACTTTAAATATCACAATTTGTACAAACATCGCACTTTTTACATTTTACTCAAACATTACATCTTTTATACCTTAGGGGTCACGCATAAATTGTCACTATCTAAAGAGGAGGGGGGGGGGGAAAGGTTAGTGGTTTTGTGACAACTCATACAAAACCTTCTACTAAAGTGTTACAATTTTGTGATGAGGGGGGGGGGGGGTGAGGTCAAAAAACAGTTGAAAATTGTGTGACATAATTTATAGACCTTACGCAATATAATACCTTTTTAAAAGAATAAATAAAATTTTAAATGTATTTTACGTAAATGCTCGCATGTTACTAAGGTTTTATATATATATATATATATATATATATATATATATATATATATATATATATATATATATATATATATATATATATATATATATATATATATATATATATATATATATATAATGGCATACATTTTTTTTATATATTAGAAAAAAAAGAGACTTTGTATTACTTTTTTAAATTCTTTTTCTTATTTCTAGTGAAAAAACTATTTAAGTTTTTTTGGTAGGCGTGTAAAAATAATTTTTTTTTTGGTTTTTCAACTCTGGAGCAAGTAATATATAACTGGCTAAGTGAAAATTAAAATTTTTCAAAGTTCAAACCAGCAACTGAACCTCATAAAGTAACTTAAAGTTTAGTAAATATAATGCCATAATTCATAAAGTAACTTAAAGGTTAGTAAACATAATGCCAGAGGTTCAGACAGAACACAAACATACATAAAGTAACTTACGGGTGAGTGAGCACTGCATCACAAAAGTCAAATAAATATTTTTGTAATATTTAAACTTTTTAAGTCATTATCCATACAAAAAAGATAAAAAGTTTTAAAAAGTTGAGAAAGCTATTAGTTTAGAGCAGAGGCCATTCTACGAGTAAAATAAGGGAGGGGGGTGAATCCTTAAAAAGTACCAACTGCATTTAATAAAAAGGTCCTCAATGGTAATGGTTTTGGTCCTCAATGGTAATGGCTCTTTTAGCTCTTTTTCATTGCCATTGATAATATTGAAAAAAAAAAAAAAATTTCTGTATTATATAAAGCGAAATTCCAATTTTTAGATTTAGATTTGTTTATTAGTGCTGTTTTCTTTTAAATAGCGAGGTAAACATTGTTTGAAGTTGTATATGTTCTTAAATGAACATTTACAACTGCAAATGATAATTAAAAGCATCAGTAAAGTTCACAAAAAGAAATATTCTTTTAAAATTTATCAGGTTTTTAATATTTTTAAAATTAGATTTTTAGCATAACCAAACCAATAACCACAACTGATAAAACTGAGTATTAAAAACACAGGAAGAAACAATTTTTATGTTTAATATATACTGATCATTATTATTGTACAATATTATTTATATCTATAATTTTTTTCATAATAAAAGAATATATAATTTATTAAGAAATGAATGGTTGAATAGTTCAGTATAAAATAATATTTTTAAATAAATTAAAATATAAAAAATAAATATAACACACAAAATAAAGAAACAAAATATTTGAAATAAATATCATATATATATATATAGTAAATATAAAAAGTCAATGTTTATAGTTACAAAAAAATAAATATCCGACAGTCTCACCAGTGCACCCAAGAGAGAGATTATACTTGTTTTCAGGACATTTATCACATTTTAGTCCTAGCACTCCAGGTAAACAATCACAGATTCCAGTACTGCTGCAGTTTTGGTTTTTTGATCCTTCTGGATGGCAGTTGCATGCTAAATTAAACAAGTATGCTGTGTTATAAACTTAAATGCTGGGAAATAAAATTAAACAACTATGTTGGTTAAAACGGAATTAAACTGAAACTCAATACTTTCTAATAACAACTTTTTAATAAACTTAAGATAATTTTAAAAAAGTATGATAAAGATGCATTCTTTATTAAGTTTTTAAACTATGAAATTTATTTATGTAAAAGATATTAAATTTTAAATCAATCTCTTTTTAATTCCAATTTCAAAAAAGAATCAACAAATTTACTAATTTATCAATGAAATAATTTATTACTGTAACTTTTTTTTGGACTATGAAATTAAAAAACATTACTATTTAGTTGGAAAACATTTTGAATAATAAGTACAACTTTTAAGTTATACGAGATACATAGTAAGTATTCCAAATGCATACCATGATGGTAAATGGCTGGTAGATAGTTGGTAGATGATAGATACCACTGATAGAAAATTATTATTTAGCAGTTATTTCCTTCATTAGTTTTTATCTTTCTTTTATGTTTTTAAAAATTAGCTAATATCAAATATAAAAAAAAATTTTTTTTTCAGAAAAAACTTTCAATTTTTGTAATTGATATTAGCTAATTTTTGCAACTTTAATTTTTTAAATTTAGTATTAAAACTAAATTACTTAAAAAAAAACCCTTACTTTTAAAGTTATATTTTATCGTTAAATATAAAAAACAACAACCCATTAAGATCATTTCTTTGTCAATATCATATTTGCATACATTTTTTTAAAATTGTTTTTAATTGTTCATTATTACCTTCACATCCAGTTAAAGAAAACTGATAAAATCCTGTACTGCATTGATCACACTTTCTTCCTGTAACACCTGGTTTACATTTGCAACTTCCTGTTTTAATATCACACTCATTTCCAATTGATCCTATCTGATTACATTCACATTTTTCACAGCCAGCTTCAATGTTCCAATGACCACTTGGACAAGTATTACATTGCTTACCCAATACATTTTTCCTGCATTGACAGTTTCCATTAGAGTCGCATGGTATTGGATCGCCACTCTTGAATCCCAAAGAAACAATAGTTCCACTTTCAAAGCATTTACAAGCTATGTTAAAACAAAACTTAAGTTACAACTATAAAATACAATATAAAAGTAATAATATTGAAAAATATATCAAAATAAAATATTGAAATAAAAAAAATTAAAAAAAAATTTTAAACAATAATAAGTATAATAATTTAATATTTTGTTATTATTAATTACTAAAAAAATTGTTAAATTTTTTATAATGTAATAGTAAATTTTAAAAGTAAGTGCAACCAGGTACCTGTACAATTTCCTTTAGGTTCAGCAAGAGCATCACCATAATATCCAACAGAACAAAGCTCACATTTTTTTTCAGGACCATTCATAGTATTATAAATACACTTTTTACATTCTCCTGTTTTGTGGTCACAATTTCCAATGGCATTCAAGTCAACATTCTCATTACAATCACATTTCTGACACCTAAAAACCATCAAAGTAATGTAATACTAAAAAAATAAAAACATAACTATGAACCCTAAAATATAATCCCAAAAATGTAACAATTTACCTTGAGCTTTTTACATTTTTTGTAGGTATACCGAAATAACCATCATCACAAATTTCACATAAATCCCCAGTATGTCCAACAGGACAGTTTGTGCACTTGATGTGATCACTAATCAAAATACACTGGCTTCCAAAAATACATGGGCATAGTTTGCAATCATCTGCATGTCCATTTGTTGGATTCCCATAATATCCTTCTAAACAATTCTCACAATTTTTTCCTGAAGTATTATCTTCACACTTACATTCTCCTGTTTCTGGGTGACAATAATTTGTGTGATTGTTACATCGGCAAGGAACACACCTTAAATAAGACAAAACTTTCCATAAATACTAGTATTACTTTTAATATTAATTTTAAATAAAGCTTTAATTTAAAAAGAAAAAGCTTACTTTCCAAATGGTCCAGACCCTGGTTCAGCTCTATTATAGCCTATCTCGCAATTTTCACTTAGATCTCCAGTGTGTCCTTGTTTACTAACACATTTCTCCTGCCAAAATACTTGACCATCAGAGTCAGGTGAAACATATTGTGTAGATTCTAACATTATGTCATTAATGGCACCACTGCGAGGATATAAGTAAGTAACACGGATTTTTATAGCAGTAACATTTGATAGCAATTTTTGGAAATCAAAAGTTGGCATTCCTTCTGGCTCAAGAAGAATATATTCAAAATTAATAAATCTTCCAGCAGGTTTATTATTATTTTGGTGAGAAATTGAGAAATAAGCAACTTCCCCATCACCTTCGAAAATAATATCTTTATCGCTAGTCTGTAAATCTGGGTCACCATTTTGTAAAAAAATTCCATAAAGAAATGAAAAAGACTTTGCATAACTGCTAAGACGATTTCCAAGAAATTTTTTTGGGGCAACCATGTATAGAACCTTGTTAGGAATAGATTTTATAAGAACATAACGACCATTGCTATCCCACTGGATGTTTTTGGAGTAGTCATTTCCTAAAAAAATTGAGACAAACCTTTACTTTTGATTACTTTATTCTTTTATTAAATATCTTTATTCAAATCTTTATTAAATAAAAGTCAACAATTCAAATTTTAAGAAGTAGAAAAAAATTATTTATTTGTTAGGAAAAAATTATTTATTTACAACTGTTAGGGTAAGTAAGAAATGTGTAGAGAAAGCCATTTAAGCTTTTTTTTTTACATAAAATTCAAGTCTTAAAAATAAAATAAATAAAAATTCACCTAACTCATCTTGAAGAGTCCAACCATCAGCATCACTATCAAATGAGGAAGTGATTATTTTTTTCCCAACACCTTTAACACCTTCACAACTAATACCATGACCATAACAAAAACAAGCTTTGCATCCTTTGGGATTACGAGCATCAAGATCAAAATGATTTGGTGCACATTGGTTACACCGCTTACCAATTACATTTTCTTTACATTGACATTGTCCAGTAGCATCACAATTTACTCCAATGCTGCCTTGCACATCACAGTCACAACGACTATTAAGATATTAATAAAATGTATTAGTGAATTTAAATTAACAATTAGTGAATATAAACTAAGAATGTATAAAGATTGTTTTTTGATTTCAAAAAGAATGTTTAAATTTTAAATAAAAACTTATTTCTCAACTCTAAATAAACTTTCAAACTCAATAAACTTTCAAACTTTAAATTAGAAATAATTTTTTTAGTTTTTTTCTGGGCTTTGTATTATGATCTACACACAGAATGACTGAAAATGTTAGTTGTTTCCCCCCTGAGCACCTAACATCGTTCTTCTACTTCACAAAAGTCTTACTCATTTTATATTTTCTTATGATTTTTATTTTTTATTCAACAACACCATCTACAATCTGGACGGCTCCATTGGTCACTTTTTGACATCATTGTGTCGCATAAACAAATAAATATATATATATATATATATATATATATATATATATATATATATATATATATATATATTTATATATAATATATATATATATATATATATATATATATATATATATATATATATATATATATATATATATATATATATATATATATATATATATATATATATATATATATATATATATATATATATATATATAATATATAATATATATATATATATATATATATATATATATATATATATATATATATATATATATATATATATATATATATATATATATATATATATATATATTATACACATTAATATATAAAGACCATATAATACAACATTATTCACCCTACAATAAATAAAGACAATGAAAAGATAGATAAGCATATATATGCGTTTTGATATTATTTTGATGTTATTTTATCCAGTATTACCAGTTGTTCAACAACAAATGGTAATGACAAACTGTTTAAACTATCTAATCAATTGTCCAACTTTGTACTTTAGCTGTTGTACAAATAACTTGCAGAACATAAATCAGATATTGAGACTAACTTTAATTATATTAGTTCAACAGTTTACTTTCATCTGGCAAAAGTGGTTTGGTATAAATAAATATAGAATTGCTGGTTGGTTTGACTTGTAGACAAACAAATGTGTGTAACCTTGCTTTAATCTACTGCAGAAATAGTGTAGAAATGCAATAGGGGGTGCAACTAGTGAATCAATTGCTAATGAGTAGAGACTGTTTTGAACAGTTATACAATATGCATAATAATAGTGATTTACTCTCTGAATTTAGCACTTAAGCGTGTGTATTAAACTATTCTGAGCTTAAAAATAACTTAGAGAAAATAAAAAGCTTGTGGGCTTTATGCTATAACTACTGAAGCTATTAAACATGGGACCGATTACAGTTCATGTGTTTAATATAGATATCTAAGATGTGCTCAGTTTAATGCTATTTGTCATTGTGAACAACTAAATAGAATTTATGTTAGGGGCTGTCCATTAATTATGTCCATTTTATACAACAAAAAACTCTAAAATCTATTTACTATGCCTTGTTTCACTCTCACCTAACATTAGGGTGGGTCATAAATTTTTTTTTCTTGTTACAGGCTCTAAACATTGCTAAAAAGTTGTTTTTTAAAGTACTAATTTAGGAAAGTATTTACTTTTATGGATTGAACAATGTCTTCCACCCGCAACTATAATTACAAAAATTAGCAGGCCCTATTATTATTCAAAAAAAAAAGTTTTTCAAAATTGTGTGATGTAGGTACTCAAATAAAGCGAAATTTTATAAAAATCTAAAAAATAATAATTTTTTCATATAAAAATTATTATTTAGATTTTATTGCATAATAACTATAGTTTTTTAAAGGGATCCCTAAGTGCTATAAAGATATGATCTCATATGAAAGAGCATAAAAAAAAAAATGTTTGATGTATATTATTTTTTCTAAAACGTAATAATGAACACACACTAACAAATTTAATTTTCAAAAAAACGTTTTTCTTCGATTAAAAAAAATGCGTCTTGTTTATTGACTCTAATGCCTCAAAAAACTAACGTTTGTACGTCAAATTAAACAAAGTTTATTGACTCTAGGGCAAACTGACCAATTAATGGCCACATCTTTTTTTAAAGGCACTCTGAACACAGTAATATTGTCAGATTTAAATTTTTTTTTGCTATACTTAATAATAGACATTCTTTTAATTTATTTTGAGTAATTGTTACCAAAATATAAAAAAACAACAATGTAAACAATTCATTTGAATTAAAATTTTGAATAAACACCAATTAATGGCCGGGTTGACTAATTATGAGCCAGTTCACTTTTTATTGAAATATTAGATTCTACTAACTTTGCCACAGGTTAAAATGTTGTGAAAATAATTTAATTTTAATAAGATTTATAATGAATAAAAAAAAAAGGCTTTAAAATGTAAATAATCAATATAAACTAGTTAAATATTGATTATTAACTGTTACACATCAAATTTTTAAAATTTTTTAAACGTTATAATTACTCAATAATAACTAGCTTAGACATAAGTACCCCTTCAACAATGGTTAAAATAAATTATTTGTAAAACTGTATATTGATTCAAAGAAATTTTAACAATCAAAACTCAAGAAATACATCAAAAAGTACTAACAAAATTTGATAAAAAATATTAACTTGTTCACTTATTAATAACAAAATCAATATGTTTCAGTTGCCTTTTTAATTCTCTGTCCTGTTGCAGTTTTAATCTCTTTTCTTTTGCATCAAGTTGCTTCAATTTTTTTATTTTTGCAGCCTCAACTTTTTCCTCTTTCTTTTTTAGATCATTTAACTTGGCTTGCATAGCTTCAGGAGAAGTTAGAACAAAATACTTTTGTTTAGTATTTCTATTGTTTTTTGACTTATTGACATGAAAATTTGGGTAAGAGATAACATCATGATCATTGTCAATGGTGCTTTTCAGTGAATCTGTTTTAACAGATATTGGACTATAATAATAATCAACACTAGTATTTGGTATAGAGACAGAGTGAATATCAGTTTCTTCTGATAAAGCAATTGTTTCAGCAGCTTCTCTTAATGAGAGATCAAAAGAAACATCACTGATTGCATTCTGGTTTATACGAAAGTCTTTGTATGCTAAATACAAATTGTCAGAAATATCAAAACCATTTTGATAACAGAAATTAAAAGCAGTCAGATGCTCTGGAGTTAAACAACTATTCCATAACATTAATGCTGTGTCATTATCCAGCTGAGCTAAATCTACATTCAGAATATCTGATCCAGTCAAGATGCCTATAGTTTCAGTTGTATCAACATCATTAATAAAAGTACAATTTGAATAAAGATCCACCTGTTTTTCAAAAGCATTGTTTAGTGATATTCCAGATTGATAATTTATGGTATCATTTTTGAAGGAATCAAAACTTGATTTAAGCAAATTCTCATTCCCTAATAACTGGTCAGAGTAAAGTGATTTGGGCAAGTAGGCCTCATATGGAATTGCAGAAGGATTATAGGGAAAGATACCACATGATTGAAAACCAGAAATAATGTTAGTGGCAGTTAATGCTTGATCCCAAGCTTTCTTGAACAATCCACAGAAGTTAGACTTATTGATTGTAACAGAGTATGTATTCATTAAATCATGACAACAAGTATTGTAGTAAGTCTTCAAGGGACCAAATACAGTACGATCTAATGGCTGCAACCAGTGAGAACAATGTGCTGGCATCTCAACAATTTCAATGTTGTTGTCAATAGCAACAGATAATAACTCAACTGAATTGTGAGAATCATGACCATCAACTATTAATACCTAGGGCCTGTTAGTTCTAATGTTTGGCAAAAATGTATTTGTAAACCAAAGGTATGCTATTCCTTGTTTTGTCCATCCAGTCTCACTAACACTCCATTTTGAACCAACTGGTGCATCACTTGTATTAAAAGCTTGAAGTGATTTTATTGTTTTACCTTTTGGTATTAGATGTGGAGGTATAGTTTTACCAGCTGCATTCACAGCAACAATTACAGTGATGGTTTCCCTTTTTCCTGAAGTACGAGACTGAAGATGTTTGGCACCCCGTGCTGCAACAATTTTGGGTGGTTTAAAGTCTAATTGAAGTCCAGTCTCATCCATATTCCAAATTGAAGAAGGCATAACATGAGTACCCAACTTATTAAAAACTTGTTGAAGTGCTAAAAAATATTTAGAAACTTTTTGGACTGACATGCATTGATGTCGCACAGATGATGTTCCTTCAGGTTTTCTTAAAACCATAGTCTTATGTCGTTGTTTAAACAACCGCCACCATTTTTCTGATGGGGTATCATGTTTAAAATTTATCTGGTGTTTCTTACTAAGCTGTGAGACATATTTCATAAATTGTCTTTTCCCAAACCCAATACCGCGATTTGCTCTAGATGTGGCATAATCAACTAACTTTTTTTCTATATGATTTGGTAATTTTGGTGGAGGTCCAGGTTTAACTCCAATTAAGGAGTCTCCTCGAAGATATTTTCCTAGTGTTGCTCTGGGAATTTTATATTCAATAGCTGCTGATCTTTGTGATAATGAACTACTTTTAACTGCATTAATGGCATTTTGCATGTTAGTTTTTGACCATTGAAAACGTTTAATTTTCTTCATAATTTTGTTATTGCTAAAAAAAAATATACCAAAACAAATTCGACTATTGAAGAATATGTATACATTAATCGAATTAAATATAAGAATATTATATATATATATATATATATATATATATATATATATATATATATATATATATAAATATGTATATGTATATATATATATATATATATATATATATATATATATATATATATATATATATATATATATATATATGTATATATATATACATATTTATATATATACATATATAAATATGTATATGTATATATGTATATATATATATATATATATATATATATATATATATATATATATATATATATACATATATATATATATATATATATATATATATATATATATATATATATATATATATATATATATATATATATATATATGATAATAATAATAACAATAA